GTCACCGTTTTTGGAGATAATTTTATTTATAAAAAAAAAGAACAAAGCGGCGAGAGGCCAAGAAAGCCAAAAAAAACCCTAATATTGGTTTGGGAGCCCTTTCATCTAGTCGTTTCTTTCTTCCCCAGCGACCAGCCCGTCCGTCGCTCCTCCTCTACTCCTCTTGCCGTCTAGCGACTGCGGCCGGCGAGGCGGCGAACCACGACCGGCGAATGCAAGGAGGCAACCCGAGACCGCTGCTCCGTCGCTCGCCTTCTCTTCTTCTCTGGCGCTTGGCGACTGGATATTGGCAACGATCCCTGCCGCCGCTCCTCTTCTCTCCTACTTAGTCGTGTCGCCTGCTTGTGTCTCCCTCCCCTGCTGCTCAAGAACAAGAAAGAGATAAAAAGACGGTGTCGAATCGACGGTCGCCATCACAATGCTTTCTTCATCTCTTGCAAACTAGTGTTGTCACAATGTTGTTTTTCGATTATAAGTTTATTTGTTAAGAGATCTTTGAGACGAGAAAAGATTAATTCTGCTGTTGCATGGAGAAATTGATCACAACAAATAAAAGGAGAAGAACAGAGCTTTAGATTGCTCTCGCTAAGCAACAGAGAAGAGGGAGAAAGAGAGAAGGGAAATTTGTAGTGGGTGGGCGGTTGGTGTCTTGGTGAATGGAAGGGAAGGGATAAGGGAATGTGAAAAGAAAAAGAAAAAAGAATAGTGAAAAACTTAAATAAACAATAAAATATAATAAATGATTTTTCAAAAGAAAAGACAATAGATATTTATTTTTACCAAAGTATTAGAGTTATTTATTAGGGAAATTAACACTAAAATGATTCACCTGATTTGTATGGAATATACAGTGTACTATTTTACATTCCGATATTACTCCGAGATGGTACACTGAATCTGCCGGTACGGTTTTTTAACAAAAATATATTATTTAATTACAGAAAATATATTTTACCGGTACACAACGGTTGAAACACCGTCATACGACAAAGTACCGTACCACACACTGGTCCGATATAACTTCCAGTACGGTTTCCTTTACCATGCATCAAAGGACAAAGAAGCGTCGTGACCCCAATCATCCGACATCAATCACCATCCTCCTCTGCCCGACCCCAATCGTCCGCCACAACCTAATCTACGCCGTCGAAATCCACTTCTTCTAGCAAGCCTCCGGCATCAACGCCACCGTCCTGTACAGCCCCAAAATCGAGCAGAGGATGAAGAGAGTGGCGATTGGGAGGATTTGTAAGTGGAGGGCAGAGCCGATTCCATCAAGGGAGATGAAGAGGAAGGAGAAGAGGCTGACTAAGAATGGGTTACAGTCCCATTAACCCATCCCGGAGATGGGGATTTGGAGCGCCGGTGAAGGCCTGCTTCTTCTCCAGCCCAGCTGCTCCTCCTCCCCTTGCGCTCCTCCCTCCGCCAGCTTCTCTGTTTCGATTTCAATCGAAGAAAACCCCCAACTGGTGGGTTTCAATTTCAATTTGTTGGTGGGTCTTTGTTTTCAGCTTCACGAAGCAGGTAGTTGGAGAGGAGTTGTTGAGGTTGACTGGGAGCTGAATTGTGGCCGGTTGAGGAGGGGAAGGTGAAGAGGAAGAGCGAGCCATGGAGGAGGAGTCATCCATGAGTGAGAGGGAGTTCAGGATGGTTGGGTTCTGATGGTGGTCGTGAGTGAAGAGGAATTGGCAGGAGGAAGGCGGCGACGGGGCGATGGTGAGAGTGGAACAAAGCTTGAAGCAGGCGGCGAGGGAGCACGATTTGGGGATTTGGGGATTTTGGTATTTTTTTAATTTTTTAATCATCTCCCGTTCTATTCCTCACCGATGGAGATGATTTCTGATCGTGAGGAGCCGGAAAGTTCCGCTTTTATTGAGGGAGTTATGAGAGGGAGGCCGAGAGGGAAGAGAGGCAGAATAAAACGAAAGAAATTGGGGAAGATGAACTGGTTGTGCAGCTATATCTGAGAGGTAAGAAGTGGAAAGAGGTGGGTGGGAGAGTGGCAGAGGAGAGGCGGTGGTTAGGAAATTGGGAATTTATATTAGGGTTTAAGAGCATGTTGACTAAATTACCCTTTAACTAAATTTGACCCTAGGATTAGATGGATCAGCATCCCAAGCTCTCTGTCGTCCCATTCTCTCATAATAAGTTTGGTGGGCATTGAAAGGGATGGGCGGCCTCAAGGCCCCCCAGGACTGACGACTTCCACCCGGGTTTTTTTTCCAAAAGAATTGAAGGACCGTGGGTAGATCCTTCTCGGAGTTTGTAGCCAGCTGCCTCACGAACCCAAGCAACATTGTTAGAGTGAATGAGACACTTATTGCGCTGATCCCCAAGAAAGAAAGCCCGGAGTTGATTTCTCAATTTCGGCCAATCGGATTGTGCACCGTCTCGTGCAAGGCCTTCACCAAATGTTTAGCTAATCGAATCAAACCCTTGATGAGCCAACTGGTACATCCTACTCAAACGAGTTTTGTCCCGAGCCGTCACATCACGGATAATATCATCATTCTGCAGGAGGTGATTCATTCGATGATACAGAAGAAGGGTAAGAAAGGGCAGCTTGTCATTAAGATCAATTTGGCAAAAGTGTATGACAGGCTTAATTGGTGCTTCATTCTGAAGACCCTAGAGACTGCTGGTTTCCCAGGGGGGTTGGTCGAGGCGGTTATGCACTGTGTTTGCTCTCCCACTCTCCCCATACTTATTCATGCTCTGCATGGAGAGGTTGAGTCACATTATTGAGCAGACAGTGGATGGGGGGAAGTGGAAGCAAATTCGGACGTCTCCAGGAGGTCCTCCTCGTTCCCATCTCTTTTTTTATGACAACCTTATGCTTTTTGCAGAGGCCACGGGACGTCCGAGATGGGTTATCCTAGAGTGCCTGGACAGACTCTGTCTTGCTTCCGGGCAGTCGGTCAACAAGGAGAAATTGGTTCTATACTCTCTGGTAACACCCCAAGATCAGTTAGTGGAGAGATTATTCGACATATGGGTATCCCTGCTACCCAAGATCTAGGCCGCTATCTTGGGGTTATGGTTCTCCATGGCCGAATCACGAAGGACACATACAAGTATATCATTGACAGACTGGATAATAAAATGTCAGGCTAGAAAGCAAAATCTCTCGATTTTGTAGGAAGGGTGACCCTGTCAACCTTAGTGCTGAATTCACTCCCGACATATGCCTTGCAAACTACTTTGCTTCCAATCTCCATCTGTGATCTTATTGACCAGCGTATCTGGCACTTCATTTGGGGTTCTACTGCGACCAAACGGAAGCTGCATCTAGTAACACTAGGATCGGGTTTGCCAACCTAAATTTGAAAGTAGGCTTGGCCTCCGAAAAGCACACGAACTCAACCTGGATTTCCTCGCCAAGCCGACTTTGTCCTTCCTCAAGTCACCGGACGAGCTATGTGTACGGGTGCTCCAGTCGTAGTATTTCAAAGTGTCTCAATGCACGATGAGGGCAATTAAATTGAAGAGGCAGTCGAATATATGGAGAGGCATAATGAAGGCCTGGCCGATAATGGTGGAGGGCACTCAAATGAGTATTAAGAACGGCCAAGACAACATATTTTGGTCAGACAGGTGGCTAGACTCAGGGGAGTTACTTCTAGACTTGGCGAAGGAAGATAGCCCATCCATGGAGTTGACGACCACGATTGCTGCATTCACTATGGAAACAGGTGAGTGGGATCTAGCCTTGCTTCATTTTTATTTACCTAATGAAGTAATGTTGTAGGTAACGAATATCCAGCCTACACGTGCTGACTCAAGCGAAGATATCCCCACCTGGGGCCTCAAGAAGGAAGGTCGGTTTCGTGTTAGGATGATGTACGAATTGGCGAACTCCACCAACATGAAGCACAACGAACGCTGCTCGAAGGCGATCTAGCGATGGAGGGTTCCTGCAGGAGTGGCTCATATCAAACCTCTGCCATGAAGATACCAGTTTAGCCTTCAGCATGACCTGCTGGTCTTTTTGGACGGCAAAAAAGACCCGCATATTTGCTGGAAAGGTCGTTACAGCTAAAGCTTTCCTACATCGCATCCTAGCATGGATTAATGTCGTGCAAAATGCCATGGATAAAGACAGGCTTGCCCATACGCCTAGTCTGCCATTAGAACGGAGATTGAGATCTCATGGAAGCCGCCACCTCCCGAGTGGGTAACCCTCAACACTGACGGGTCAGTTATTAAGGAATCAGGTCATGCATCGGCAGGTGGCCTGATTCGAGATCATCAAGAATGTTGCATCACAACATTTGTTATGAACTTGGGTGTTTGCTCCATCACCCGAGTAGAGTTGAGGGGCGCTGTGGAAGGTCTTCAGATGGCTTGGAACTTGGGGTTTAGGCGAATCAGAGTGGAGCTCGACTCATAGTGCGTTGGCAACCTTCTACGTAATCGAGACACTCTCAATCACCCGCATGCAGTCGTTATCCATAGATTTCAGGAGATGCTGCAATGTAACTGGGTAGTTACCATATACCATGTGTCTATCGAGAGGGCAACAAAGGAGCAGATTTCCTTGCTAATTATGGTCACGGATTGGCCGTTGGCCTTCATAGTTTATCTTGTTCGATGCCTACTTTTTACCACATTCTTTTGTATGACTGTCAAGATATTTCTGAGACCCGTTTGATTGTGAATGAAAGATAGATGTGTTGCATCCATTTATAAAAAAAAACTTAGTTAGGAGGATGCTAGCAACGCATCCCATTCCCATATTAATGCAGAGCGTCAAACCCAGCCAATTCGAGTGGACTTTACTTTGACGGGCCACTATTCTCTGATCTTGGCTTGGGCCTTGGAGATTGAGGTTGGGCCGTTGGGGGCATTACTGTTAATTAGAAAACATTATCCGTATCCCCTCCTTTCTTCCCCGCTTTCAGTCTCCCACCCTCTGCCCAGAACCTGAAATTCCCCTCTTTCCCAACCGAGCTCATCGGCATCGAGACGAAAGAAATCAACAATGGCGGCCTCCTCCATCTCTTCCCCCGCCTCATCCTTCTCTTCTCTCTCATTCTCCTCTCAACTCTCCCACAAACCAAACGCCCTCATTTTCCCAGTCACCAAGTCCCGCCCCTCTTACATTCCGCCGCCGTCTCCTCGCCGTCCGAGCCCTTCAAGGACCTGGTGAAGACCAGACTCCCCGGCGGGTTCGTCGCGCAACCCAATATCGGCACCGGCCGCCAGAAGTGCTCCATCGCCCGTGTCGTCCTCCAGGAAGGCACCGGCCAAGTCATAATCAACTACCACGACGCCAATGTAAGCCTTCAGCAACCATCGCCCTTTCCCTTCACCCGAATTCGGAATTCCCCAATGTGCAGATTTCCAGTCCCAATTTCCAATCCCTAGGGTTTTTGCTATTTCCCTAATTTTGTGGTCTCCAATTGGAGTTTTGAACTTTCCTTACTTCAATTGTACGTTCTGCATGACTATCTCCTGGGGAATCGCTATGGATTCAGTACGTGAAATTCCCGTTGGTGACATTGGGCTACGAGGGCAGCTACGACGTGTTCGTGAAAGCTCACGGCGACGGGCTGTCCGGCCAGGCACAGGCGATCTCGTTGGGAAATGCTCGTGCGCTGCTGAAGGTCAGCGCCAACCACAAGTCGCCCCTGAAGTCGGAAGGGCTTCTGACGAGGGACTCGAGGACTGTCGAGAGGAAGAAGCCTGTTCTTAAGAAAGCTCGCAAGGCTCCTCAGTTTTCCAAGCGTTGAGCTTTTGCTGGGGGCAGCTACAGAGTTCATGTCTTTCTCGGTTATACTCTGATAGACCGATAATTATACATGTTTTCACCCCTATTTTGAAGCCGGTTGTGATGTGTAATCTCATGTTTTAAGCCGATTTCACGCCAGGTTGTGTGTTTATGTCATATTTCAGGTCCCGGCGTTGGAATCGAAGCAGAGAAACGAGTTCTGGGTCGAAAGGAGCAAAGTTGGGACAAAGCGGGCTGCAGGAGGAAAATACCCGGTCAGGTGGCCAAATACCCGACCGGGTATTCATCACTTCTGGGCGCCCGAGAAGCAGAGAGGGGCCCGGGCAAAACAGCAAAATCCCCGGTCGGGGATCATGGCGAGTGACCGGGGATTCTTCCTTTAGCGAAACGGTGCGCTGCGAAAATACCCGGTCGAAACCCCAAATACCCGACCGGGTATTTCGACCGGGTATCGCGACCAGGCAGTCAATTTAAGGAGAAAGAAGGCCAACATTGAAGGGTTCCGAGTTTTTGAGAGAGAAATCGATTCCTAGAGAGAGAAAGCGACGAACCAGAGTTCCCAAGCGCCATAGATCGATCTTCAACACCATTGGAGCCCGTCTTGAGCTTGGAGAAGTGCGATTAAACGTCCAGGAGCAGAAATCCAACTTCACAGTATGATTTCCGCGTCTGAATCTGCTTTTGCTTCTTTCTCTATGGTGTAGTTTCCCCATTCATCTGGGTATGGAGAACCCTAGATTTGTATGCTAGGTCTGATTGTATGAACCCAAGTACAGAGTTTGTGAATTGATTATATTCGATTGAGGTTTGAATGATTGAATGACTTGAATCCTGATCAAATTCCTGTTGTTTCTGCTTTGACCTAGAATGAGAATATCTGCCTAGGTTGATAGAGTACCCTTAATCGAAGGTGGCGAATTGGTGACTTTAGTCGAGGAGCCAATTCGCTATTCTGTACCGAAGTCAATTCGGTAGTGGAGGTTTGGTTCATTAGGGCCTCAATCTGTTCACTCCGGTGGAGGTTAGTCGCCCGCTAGAGGCTCAGATTGAGAGGGTCTGGAGACCTTTAGTCGAGACTTCAGGCTAATTGAGAACCTTCCGCAGTATAACTTTCATGAAAACTGAACTTGGTAAATTGCAATCCGGCTTAACTGCAGTCTAGGAGGAACCATATCCGGGTGACCTCTCTTGACTTGACAACAAACCGTTTACTTGCTTTGTGTTTTGTTTGCTTGAGTTGCACTAAAAGTTCACCGCTAAATAACAAGAATTCACTGAGTAGTCATCACATCTAGGACCCGGGTTGACAATAAAACCCAAACCTGCTATACTACGCTTTAGGAAGTGGTTGCACTTGGCCATTTTCTAGAGTGACAGTAGGAGTGAGTCAAGTTTTTGGCGCCGTTGCCGGGGACGGCTAGGTTGTTGAAGAAAAGTGATTTCTGTTACTTTAGCATTTTCATTTCCCGCATTGAGTTTTTGTTCTTCCCACTTGTGCCTTCACGGGTTTGCATTGCTTGATTGTGTGCAGATAGTGCATGACCCGTAGCCAGACGTGAGGTTTACTGCCGTTGAATCCTGAGATTGAGCGCACTTGCAAACAACTTCGGAGACAACAGCGAGCTAGACTGGCTACAGTGGAGCGCCGAGACGGCCAATTGACCAGCGACTCCGAGGACGAGATGGAAGGCGATCAGAACCCACCTCCTCAGAACCAGATCCTGGGGAACGACCAAAACCCCCCGGGAGCTGGGAACCATCATCATCCACCACCACCGGGTCCCACCTTGGAGTACTACTATACTCCACGGATTGCTGACATCCGCCCGGTCATCCTCTATCCGCCCATTCCTGCAAACAATTTCGAGATCAAGCCATGCTGGATTCAGCTCATTACATCATCTATCCAGTTCCATGGCTTGAAGGATGAGGAGGCCCGGGCGCACCTTTCCCGTTTTTTGCAGCTGACGAACGGGTTTAAACTGAATGGTGTTCCGGATGATGCAATTCGCCTTCACCTCTTCCCCCATTCTCTGGCGGGGAATGCTAAGAGGTGGTTGGAGACCCAGCCCCCATTGTCCATCACCTCTTGGGACTATCTGGCTGACAAGTTCGTGCACCGATATTATCCGGCATCGAAGACCACGGAGATTCAGCGGGAGATCACTCACTTCCGCCAAGAGCCAGATGAGTCACTTCGTGATGCATGGGAGCGGTACATGGGATACTTCTGGCAGTGTCCCCATCATGGTTTCAGTGATGCTTTCACAGTAGGGAACTTCTACAGCGCCCTCACTCCAGACAGCTAGAGGGTGATCGAGTCTCTATGCCCAGGAGGGGATATTCTCACTAAGACTCCACCCGAGCTGAACCAGATGATCAGTACCTTGGCTGCCCGCGATCATTCCTGGGGGCAGAGCTGCAGAGGTAGGCATTCCCGGGACCGTGGTGTGCATGCCTTGGAGGCCCGATCCGGGTTAGAGCAGCAGGTGGCTGAGTTGGTGCAGACATTGAAGCAGCCCAACAGTCTCCTACCGGGCCGAGGTGTAGCTCCGCCTCCAGTCGCTCAGTGTCAGTGGTGTGAGAGCCCGAACCACCTGGTGGAAGATTGTTAGTCTATGAGGGAGTTCTCTACTCCCCAAGAGCAGGTGGATTTCATCGCCAATGCTCGGCGCCTGGACCCATACAGCAACACCTACAATGAGGGATGGCGCCAGCACCCTAACTTTGCCTGGAGCAGCAACACCAACAAGCCACCTGGTTTCCCAGCACCAGCAGGTGGTTTCCAGCAGAGGCAGCCCTTCCAGGCTAGGCAGGGGCCACCACCACAGCAGCAGCCCTACCAGCCTAGGCAGGGGCAGCCATTCCAGTAGCCCCAGCGTCAGTATGCCGAGCCAGCAGCAGCCCCAGCTCCCGATAGCCAGATGGCTGATCTGAAGAATATTTTGGCGACATTCATGACCACCAGCCAGGCGAATTTCACGAGGGTGGACCAGAGCATAGCCTCTTTGGAGGCAGGACAGAGGAACCAGGGTGCTATTCTGCAAGATCTACAGCACCAAGTCGGTGTCCTAGCGCGCCAGCTTACTGCTCGGGCCCCGGGGACTCTACCTGCCACCACCATCCCCAATCCACGGGACCCGCACGAGCAGCTGGGTGCCATTTTCACCAGGAGCGGCAGGCCTACATCAGCTGATCCTGCCCCGACCAGGCAGGAGGAACCACTACCTGCTTCAGCACTTCCAGCCGGTGATGCAGAAGTGCGGGTGGAGAAGGAAGCCCCTGCTCCCAAGCCACAACCAGTGGTGAAGGAGCACGTACCCCAGCTTCCCTTCCCCACTCGCCTACACAAAGATAAGCTGGAGACTGAGTTTGCCAAGTTTATGGCAATGTTGAAGCAGCTCAACATCAGCATACCATTTGTGGAGGCACTGTCGAAGATGCCCAAGTACGCAAAGTTCATGAAAGATCTCCTCACCAACAAGAAGAAACTTGGGGATCTCTCGACAGTGCTGCTGAGCGAGGAGTGTTCTGCCATCCTGCAGAACAAGCTGCCCGAGAAGCGCAAGGACCCACCCAGGGAGTTTCACTATCCCTCTTACTATTGGCAGCATGCATGTAGGAAAGTCCTTGGCGGACCTAGGCGCTAGCATTAATGTCATGCCATATAAACTGTTCAAAAAGCTAGACCTAGGTGAACTTAGCCCTACTAGGATGAGCATTCAGCTAGCTGATCGTTCCGTTGTGCATCCTAGGGGTATCATAGAGGATCTACTTGTTAATGTTGGTGCATTCACATATCCTGTTGATTTTGTTATCCTGGACATAAATGATGATGTGGATGTGCCTTTGATTCTAGGTAGACCATTTCTTGCCACCGCCAAGGCACTGATTGATGTGCATGATGGTAAACTGATCCTGCGTGCTGGGAATGAACAGGCTACTTTTTCTGTGACTGAGTTTAATCATTGTGCTATGATTTCTGTGTCACCTGTGCATGCAATTTCTGATCAGGTACACGAGCCTGTCGTGTATCCTTCTGCACCTCTCATTTTGCAGGACCCGCCTATCATTCCTTCGCCGCCACTCCATCCAGTCTCGCCTCCGAACAAAAAGCTCAAGGAGGAGTGGCGGCCGAAGCCACAGGTTGCTAAGCCTGCACAGAAGAAGGGCGGAGACCACTACGAGCTGGTCCCTCCCCCTGCACCACGACCACCCTGGCCGTCCGGGTTCTCACTCGCCTGCATCTTGCCGGATGGCCAGGTCGAGCTGACCGATGATGGTGGTCGCATCCGTCGGGTGCATGGCCACAACCTGAAGCTGTACCTCAAGAGCGACGTGGATCCGCTCTTGGAGGCATCTGTTCCTGCACCTCCCTGAGTATCCACCATGGGCGTCCAGCTAAAAGACGGTAAAGAAGCGCTTGTGGGGAGGCAACCCCACCACGGTTTTCATTTATTTGTTTTGTTTCGAGTCGGATTGCAATTTGGTTTGTTTGCTTTTGTTTTGGATGATGTATTATTGGGCTGACCATTGGACCTAACATATCGTGTTTGAGCTCTTTGGTTTCCTTTAGCCGTGCCTGTGTTCCCGACTGGTCCTCTTTCCAGTCCGCTTCATTCTGACTGGTCCATTTCCAGTCTTCTGCAGTCTGTGCATACCGGTAACATCGTTCCCCTTACCTTCCCTCTTCTCCATTGAGGGCAATGTCGATCTTAAGTGTGGGGGGGTGTTTATCTTTTGACTGCATTAGATTTGTTTGTGTGCTTGGAGCCTAGTCCACTGTCCAATTTTTTTAATTTGAGGGCTCCAAGTACGTGTTCCTTGCAATTACCTGCTCAGTATGCTTTGAATTGACAGTCTCTGTAGTGATTTGCAACCTAGGGAGGTAGTGTAGCACTATGGAGGATGTTGATGCATTTAAGACGTCTCATTTCTTCTTCATATTGTGTTGGTTGATTGAG